GCAGTCACCAACTCCAGCTGGTCTGTGTGACCAAGATATAATCTATTTCTTGATAATACTTTGGGAGGGTTGTTTTCTTTTCACGTGTAAAATGCTGCATGACAGCACGGGAGGTGAAGCGTTCAACTTAGCAGCAGATTAAGCAGCAACAGTACAAGCTTCTCTTTGTTGCCTCCGTGGTTACCTTTTACTTCTCACGAGAAAAATGATGAATTCAATCTGAATTGACTTAAACACGGGCCTCACACTGAAGTGTGAAATAGTACTAGTTGTAGTGGGGAAACCTGTTTAGCCAGGAGCAGGCAAAAACATTAGGTAATTTGCCAAAGCCTATAATATTTTTTTTTTTCAAAGTACAGGGGTACTGTGAATAGGTTTCTTAAGAAAAAGTTTGCTTACATATCTGTTGAAAAAGTACATTTAATTTTACAAGAAAACTTCATGTTGGCATGATAAAGTTCATTCTTACAACACCATCAAAATGCAGAGGTTTTTGGATGGTCTAGAAAAACAAAACAGACTGCAGTTTAATTAAAAATAAAATCACTAGAGAGCAGAAGTATGGTAATTTCGCCACTTAAATACCTGAACTGCTGTGGTTGGGAAAAGTGTGCCAGGCTGCAAAATGCTGGAAGGAGAGGGGAGTGTTTTTTTCTTTCAACCACCTTCCCCCCGAACCCCCCCCCCCATCCCCGAGCAAATGCAGATTCATCTCAGGCTTTATATCACTTGCCAAGTGATATAAAGTGGGCTAATACCATATCAGAGAGACTTAGGAACTGCAACATATAACTTGTTAGTTACATAATTCATAGATGAGTGTGTGTGTGTGAATAAAAATTAGTACCTCGACCTGATTTTTCCCCAATACAAATCACAGATACTCTCCATCTGATGAAAGAGGTGGTTTAGGCCCTATAGCTGGGAACAGGGTAGGCCAGCAACGGCAGCGGTGAGCTGTCCAAACAAACCAGAAAGTCATGAGGAGCCCTCATGGTGGTGTTTGTCTACAGTCTAGAGGAGAGCTCTCCGAGAATTGAACACCTCGGCCAGTTATGCCCTTTCTTATAGGAAGAAATGCATATAGGTAGATTGACTGTGCCAGTTATCATTTGGCCTGGAAAGCAGGAGAGCTCTTTTTTTAAATCCTTCACTGGCTTAATTTGATTCTGAGTCCATGACTCTTGTATCCCAGAAACACAGCCTAATCAGCAGACTTGGTTATCCTAGAGAAGTCATTTTTAATATGCCAGTTGAAAAGCAAAACAGTTTCATGAATTAACTGTTCATATCAACAGATGCTTAATCCCCAGATTCTTATATCTCTGGCCAGTAATCATCTGGCTGTAGCGTCAAATGTCATTGTGGCTTTAATTTTAATATTTTTATTTTTAAAACATTTTTAAAATTGTATTTAATTTAATTTGTTGTTGCTGAAACTGTTTCTGTTTACTAGTTACAACACTCCTATTCCATAGTGAGAAATTGTAGTTTGTGACCATGTTTCCAGTAAGATAGACTGGAGATTTGAAAACAGGTTTCTTTTTAGCTAAGTGCTCCAACCAGCCAGCTTTTTGGCTAAAATGGGACTAACCCATATGTTCAGCCAGTTTTCCAGTTTCCTTACATAAAAAAACAGATAATGGTAGGTGTACTTTTATAAGCAGTGTAGAGAACAGTTTTGAAAATGCTGCGGGACCTTTGAGCAACTTGACTCTTTCATGTGTGACTGTGGGGAGATCTTTAAGAGCCCATAGATTTGGGCACCTACATGGTTAATAATCGGCATTCAAGTTTCTTTGTAAATCTAGCCTTAAATTCAGTACCAAGAGGAATCTGAAATAGCTAATACAGGGGATCTCAGTTACAGATATGGCTAGTGGCCACTGTTTTGTGATGTTATGCTTTGATTTGCGTTTGATGCTCATAGATGCATTAAATGTCCTTTCATTTGAGGAAAATGTGGTTTGTTTGTTTTTTTTTTCCTTCTCCCTGTTATTATAAAAATGCTTGCTTGAAAGCAGCATATCAGTTATATGGAAGAATGATAGAAGCGTTTTAAGAAAAGAACAAAAAACTCTCCAAGGGAAGAGTATTTTTAGTGCCTGAATGCGTTAGGGTTCGTGGAAGACAGTTGCGTGGTTTTTGTATATTGTGAACAGGTTCCAAATCTGTATATAGATGGTCGCGTAGAGAACCATGCAAGAATCATTAGATTGTAATCCCACATTGATAGTAAACCAGACACAGTAATGGCCAATATTGAACTAGCTGTTACAAACCCAGACATAAAGCTTGGACCAGCTCTATTAGATAAAGTTCATATACCAGAGTATGCTGTGTGTGACGTGGTCCCCCAGAAGGGGGGGACTGAATGTGAGACTGGTTCCTCACTTGGACTCCAGCAACTCATCTTGTTTTAGTGGGAATCAGTGCAAGTAAACTGGCTCAGATTAACTATGTTTACACTATCGGGTCTCATGATTTAATCAGGCGTCCAGAGGGAAAAGGCTAATGTCACTTTGACAAACACTTGGCTACTTCTGCCCAATGAATGAACACACGTCTTATTTTAACTGCTGAGTTAACAAACAAGAATTGAACAGAATCTTGTCTGAACTTTGTAAAAAAGACATTTGTCAACTGCCTATAACACAGTTTAAGAAAAAGGCGGGGGAGTGAAACTCCTGCTTACTCTGTGTCAGCAAACTCCTAACAGTACAGCAAAGATCAGCTTTCCCTTAACTTTCTTAAAAGGATGGGCCGGTTCTCTTAATGAGGACACAGATCACAGATAGGTTAAGTCATAACTACTGAAATACAATTTTTACAAAAATTGTGGTCTGCTGCTGTCCTCACACTACACTGTGCTCATAGGTGTTCTCTCTGTAGTCTGCACACCTTCAGAAAACTTGGCATATCACTAAGGACTGTTTTTTTCCCCTCCATGTTATTTTGCTTATCTGTGTCACTGGAACAAAAAGCTGTAATGTTCCCCCTGTAAATACTGACTCTTTGTTATGCTAGAGACCAAAAATCTTAGTCGGGGACTGTTCTGAGACCTAGTCTCAGCTTTCTGTGCATTTGTGTTATTCATCGCTGGGGCCTCTGGCTTCTCAGAATATGGCAGAGACAAAATGTCATTGGATCACAGAATCTCATTGACTCTCTGCAAAATAAATGTAGAATTTAGCTTGCAGAATAAATGTACTTGCTCAAAGAAACTAATTTTGCATAACAGATTTTCTTTAAAAAAATTTTCGTATAGATGTTTAAGAATATCTGTTTAGCAATATCCAAATGTATTTTTCTTTGTCTACATAAAGAATGATCCATTGAAAAATAATCCAGCGTGAGAAGAGGTGATGATATTAAACTGTACAGCTGCCCTGGAAACACTTATCATCTCAAGTCCTGAGTAACAGCTTTCAGGTCAAAAGCAAGACTCTTACCGAGTTATACTCCCACCGAGCTCCCAGAAACGCCGGTGCAATTTTGACCCTTGCTACTTAATAGAACCTTATAATAATTTTAATCAAAAATGATAGAAAACGTACTCTTGTGCACAAGTTGTGATGAGGTTTATTCTTATTTCTTGGGTGAATACATTTACTCAGTGTGTATGACTTAAGAGTCCACGGAGACCCCTCTAGTGTAGCACCTGACCAACATCCGTAACACTACGGATAAAACCTAGGTTTCATGCTAGTTTAGTTGCATACCACAAAGTTCATTTTGTTTCCTAAATAGGAAGTCTCACAGCTGTCCTGCATTTTGGGTTTATCTACCCTTAAACCATCTCTTGATTTTAAGTATACTGTGTGTTTCTTGGAGCTATTCTCTGAATGCAAATGATCACATGGGACCTTCATAGGTCAGGTCAAGAGTTTATTTCCCATGGTCCTGTGGGCAGAAAAAAAACTCTCCTAAAAACCCCGAACCATTTAAAAATTAAATTTAAAAAGTATTTCTAATAGGCTTTTTCTGCTTCTCTCCCTTGTAAGGCGCCACCTTCCAGCGGTGGGGACTATGAACCCTTGCGGGCGCGATATGAACTATGGCTATGAACCCTGCTGTTCCCTTAACGGCGTGGCCGGGGCTGGGGCGGGAGGCGGGATGATACCGCGGCTGCCCACAGGGGGCGGCCTC